GCACCAATGTCTGTAGAACACGCTACACACAGTCGTGAACACATACATATCAAACTTGACATTACACATTATTTCGAGAGATGCAATAATAATAAATGAAATCCATATAAACAGCCATCACAAATAAGTCGACTGAAAACTTGATCTTACATATAATCATAGAAATTAAAAGTAATTTCGAATTCATTATCTTCACTTATCGAGGCAGCAACATTTATCACAACCTAATATTTATCTACTTTTGAAACACAATCACCCCTCCCAACATCTTCAATTCACACCTGTTATGACATGTATTTTATTTAAGATTTGTCGAAGTAATACATGTTGAAGCGTGTCACTACATGTAGAGATTAGAATGTCACTAAGTCACAATTCATTGTGTTCATAAACAAGATCACCAATGCTTGTCACAGACTTCATGCACACTTGTGTAGTATTACTGACAGTTGAAGATGGTTATCTGAAGTTAGAAGATCATCCATTGTATGCATACACAGTGGGAATGTGATCGACGATCTGAAATGATTTGTCAATATGGACTTGATGCTGGGGATCAACAGAAAGTATCCCAGCACAACTACACATCGACGTTTTTCTCCTCTTACTTAAGTTTGTGGAATCAAGTTTGAGGTTACAGTGAAAGACAAGCTAAATGTAGACTGTATCTGTCGGAGGAGGTACAGTTGTAGTGTAGAATAGTGGGCCTATCTTTGATTGTTTATTAGAATAATTCAAATTCTTCAGTCACTCCAACAAGGAAGAAGCAAATCTGTAATGACGTGCGAAGCCTCATACTTCATATGTCTGCTATCCATTCACGTGAGCTCAGCTTACAATACGTTTCCATACCCCATCTGTGCAATAACCGTTTTCATATGGCTTATGTAATCTTATGATTTTCGCACCTCAATATCTTGGTAATACATTCGGTCACTGCATATTTTCTCTTTACTCGAGAAATTCTGATGGCATTACACATACGCAGTTTCAATCCATCTACATTCTACGATCACTACTAATTATTGATTTATCAAGGATCTGCTTTATTCCACAAAAATCATGGGATTTTCAGCCTTTGTCACAATATTGCATCTGATTTACTCAAAATATGAAAAACGTTTATCACAGGGAAGTCGCTACATTTACAGTAGGAATATTGCCAATATAATGTGCAAAATGTAAAGTGCGAATAATAACCATGATGGTCATAATAATAATAATCATAGTGATAACGGTGATAATAATAGTAGGTTTGTCTCAGACAATATTGTTGATACAGTCAGTATGGAAGTCTGAGCATGTTATAGAGTATTGAGTCTAAGGCTATTTTGACAAAGCATGGTGAGGGAAGAGACGAAATTAATAACAGTTATTACAGAGCTTGAATGATGTTTACAGTTTTGAGAATAATCGACAAAAGAATGAGAGGATTATTAATATAAGAGGAATATTAATAGTAAAACGTGTTGGTGTAGGGATGGAGAAAATTGTTTATTTACTGGTGGAAGGAAAGTTAGTTAGTTCGTGTCTGACACTGTTTTCATCACATAAAATACATGGCAAATAAAGTCTTGTGGAATGTTTATACATAGACGTGTGCGCATTAAGTCTTTTGAAATAAACTCTTGTTCTCCCTGAGGCGAAACGACTTGAAAGTTGCGGGTGAAGTAGATGCTCACAGTCTGTCAAAATCTCCTTACCAGAGTCATTACATGAAACTAAGTATCTTTCAATAACGATGTCATCAAAATGGCCCAATGGGTTATCACTCGCCCTACTGACAGTCTTCAGAGTTCCACGACATGTGATATAGTCTTTTGTAGGCAACTCAGGAGAGGATAAGTAAGGGAGAATAATAATAATGATTTACTTTATTTCATACATGTATTCCACTTAATGAATTTGAACAAAGCAAGAACTAAAGTTTTAGCAGAATAAAATGGTACCATCTTTTATTTCGTTGCCTTCTCGTCAGCTGCTTACATGGATAATTTCACCTCTCTTTCATCCGAATGTGAAGTGCTAAAAGTTTCCATTGTGTTTGATTATTATTGTTCGGAATAGTGGTTAATATTGCATATTTATATATATGTATATATTTTTAGTGTATGAGTATATTGATCGATTGATTTTTGTTTAAACTTAACTCTGTGCAAGTATGTTAAAATTGTTGTTGTAGATATATTTAATAATGTCTTTGCCATGTAAGCAGCTGACGAGAAGGCAACGAAATAAAAGATGGTACCATTTTATTCCGCTAAAACTGTAGTTCTTGATTTGTTCAAATTTACTTTATTCTTAAAAGCAGTACTTGTGATACAAAATGGAATTTTCAGCATTAATCACAATAGCGCATCTAATTTCCTCAAATTATAAATAAAATTAATCACACAGAAACGTTTCCACGTTTAAAAATAGGGGTAATATCAAAAACACGCAGCATATGAAATGGAAATAACAATAATAATCACAGCTAAGATAATACTAATAATACAAGTGAAGATTGCCGTGGGCGTGTTTCACACAGTATTGTCTATGCCGTTTATAAAAACTAGCATGTTTAAAAATATTGAATAGAATGCAAGAATAGGTAAGATGCGAGATTTGGCAAACTGTAAGATCAGGAGGAATTTATTTACGCCTAATTGCCTTGACTGCTTAATGCAGAAAGTCAGACAAAATATTTTACTATAAATCGCTAAGACGGGGAAAGACCAGAATAGATCGGAAAAAAGAATTAGTTCAGGATACTCTGCTTAAAAATTGACCTCCATTTCAATGCCATCAACTTTACAACGGGCATGCGAATTAACAGCTTTGTTTGACTTCTTTTACAACTGAAACTGCAATTAACAGTCTAACATTTTGAAAAGATTTAGTTTAAGACCATTAGACGAAGACCATTTGCTGAGTGCTGATTGCATCCTGTTCATCATAGAACAGAAGAGAAGACTAAGTTCAGCGAAGATAATGATCTTTTCGGCGATTTCATTCTCAAAAGCTATACAATCGCATTTATATACATTAATTTACATGGATACAATTATTATTTGTTTAATTTCACATAATAACGAAGGTGATAATAATTTTCAACTTGATATGAAAGTTTGAAGGCACGAATATAGATTGCAAGGGGCTTAGGGACAAGATTTCATAAGATTAGAAAATAATTACAGCGTATGCAAAAAGTAAAATATTTGATAACTGGAGAAATAATTTTAAAGGCGAATAAAAGGTGATAATTGTTTTCAACTTGATATGAATTACAAGAGGCTTAGAAACAAAAGTTACTCAGGGATAGAACGAATTACAGGTGTGAACAAAATGAGCATGGAAACAAATTGAAATCAAAATTTTCAACTTGAAATGTTAGTTAGGGGGTATGAATATAGATAACAAGAGGCATAGAAACAAAAAATTACACAGGATTAGAATATAATTGTAAAATGGTTATTCTAAACGGATTACAAGTGTGATCAGGAGGAGCATGGAAACAAAATTAAGATAACTAGTTTCATATCTGAAAAAATAATTTGAGCCTGAAATGAAAGTTAGGACGTGTGAATATAGATTACAAAAGCCTTAGAAACACAAAAATTGCACAGGATTAAGATATAATTGTAAAATAGTTATTTCAAACTATTTATAAATGTGAACAGGGAAAAGCATGGAAACAAACTTAAAATAACTGTTTTTATGGCTGAAAAAAAATTAGGTGGATCAAATGAAGACTGAAGAACTAGGAATCAGACACACAGCGAACGAAAAATGCTCTAAAGGAAAAAAACGAGAACGAAAAAGGACGAGAAAGGAAAAAACGGAAACAAGGGGAACATACCAAGCTAAGTCCATGGTAGTTGTAGAGGTTGGACTAATTTCTTACAGGAATCTAATAATTCCCATCGTTCGAATAAATTCACAATGGAGTTAGAAAACGATTCAAAGATTCCATTTCTGGACATGGAATTGACACGAAGAGATGATGAAACCCTGAAGAGGTCCATCCACAGAAAACCAACTTGGAATGGCCAACTAACGCATTTCTATAGTTGCATAACTTTGAGCCGAAAACGAACCCTCATCAGCGCACTAACCTATCGCGTTAGAAAAATCTGCAGCAACGATTGCATGGAAGAGGAGCTCCTAGTTCTCAAAAATATCCTGGTTGAAAATGGTTACCTGACACGTTTTGTCAAAAAGAACATGGAACCTAAACCTAAAAGAGAAGAATGCGATTCAGCGCCAAAGAAAACGCTGTATCTAAATCTGAATTTCAAGGGAGATTTGGCAGCTGATATCCTGAAGAGGAGAATATACAGCTCTTTAAAGAAGATCTTCACCGCAGCAACACTAAGAGTGACAATCTCTAGCCGTCCAATACTTCGAAACAACACGAAGGGCAAACTCTCGCATATGACCATTTCAATGTGCATATACCAGTTCACTTGCTCGTGCGGAGCTAGGTACATAGGTCGTTGTATGCGCGTCCTCTCAAAACGTGTTAGAGAGCACAACCCAGCGTGGCTGCAAAGAGGCGGCACCGGTTCAATCAGAAGTGCCATTATTGAACATCTGGTCAACACCTCCCACAAAATCTCAACCGATTCTTTCAAAAGTGATTTACAAAGTCAACAGAAACCTACCAAGAGCAGTACGTTTCCGACTTCTCTGTACTGCAGAAGCAATGTGTATGCATACAGTGGATGATCTTCTAACTTCAGATAACCATCTTCAACTGTCAGTAATACTACACAAGTGTGCATGAAGTCTGTGACAAGCATTGGTGATCTTGTTTATGAACACAATGAATTGTGACTTAGTGACATTCTAATCTCTACATGTAGTGACACGCTTCAACATGTATTACTTCGACAAATCTTAAATAAAATACATGTCATAACAGGTGTGAATTGAAGATGTTGGGAGGGGTGATTGTGTTTCAAAAGTAGATAAATATTAGGTTGTGATAAATGTTGCTGCCTCGATAAGTGAAGATAATGAATTCGAAATTACTTTTAATTTCTATGATTATATGTAAGATCAAGTTTACAGTCGACTTATTTGTGATGGCTGTTTATATGGATTTCATTTATTATTATTGCATCTCTCGAAATAATGTGTAATGTCAAGTTTGATATGTATGTGTTCACGACTGTGTGTAGCGTGTTCTACAGACATTGGTGCAATCGGACATTTTGAGTAGGGCTAACATAGTCCGCTGAAGTTTAACAACACACATCGACTAACTAAGTGGTTTTTGTATGGATCCATACTAGACGGTGTTTCTGTTTCCAATGTTTTATTTAGTTATAATTCAATGAAATGCTGATTGTCTTTAGAACACTACTTTCTCCAATTGATGGTGGTATGTATTCATGCATTTTCTATAGTTTCCGTAAGAAATGCATGACCCTTTTTCACTGGAATGTTGTTGATTATTCCACTAATGTCTTCTGTCTACATTGTGTTTTTGATTCACAGGTTTCATATGTATCTCACAATCGTTAGCTGGGGGAAATGATCCACAGGTGGATGGTGAGTTAGAAATAACCGTTCAATTTGAAAGTGTTGAGGCATCGTCTAAACGTGTGTCGTATGGGAGAGGATGGATTCAGCTTCTTCCAAGAACCAGAATCAGTTATTTGAGATATCAGTTGCGATATCCAGGGTCAGTGAACAGTAATGAATCCATTATTCACTCACTTGTCAACTCTTCAACAATTCTGAGAGTTTTAGTTGGTGATGTTGGGTTCTTCGAGCTGGTCGGTTTATTTCTGCAGCTTCACTTGTCTTTCTAGACGGGATCGTCACGCTGGCTGTCACACCTACATAAGATGCATATCTTTTGTTTTCACTCATTTATTCCAGACTGACAATTGCCTATTTCAATTATATTTTTGTTGGTTTCAATATATCGACTGGTGTCATCTGCCAGTCGAAGCTGGCAGAGACATCTCAAGAAGAGTAAACTCGAGACCCTCTCTTTGATATTCGTTTTTAGATATGTGTGTGTTCATATGGGATTGTCGGCTGCTGCCACTTCTACCTACTGTTGCTATGGACGGTATTCTGATCGTGGTTTGAGTATACGTGTCATTAATTCATACACTCATAGATCTGCGTTTATGCTGAGTGTGTGTTCTTCACAGTTCGACAGTGAAGATCACTGTCAATTGTTGACACTGGCCAGCTTCTTAGTTGCCTATTCATGAATCGTGTCATTTCTGAGCTGTGAACATATGTCACTCAGCATTATGTGGTTAATTCAGCTGTAGAATCGCTCACAGTTCTGACATTATTTTTTGAGTAATTCTGTGGTCTAACAGTGTCTGTCTATGTGAATTAGGCTGTGTGGTTGGCCGTCAGTTTCAGTGGATTGGACTTCTTTTAGGAATATCATTTTGACAGCTTCCTCACCGTTCACTGTTCACTAGCTCTAGAATCGATTAAGAGAAAGAAGAAGAGGTGGATTGGTCATTGTTTTGCTCAGAGTTACAAGATAAGGAGAGATCTGTTGAGTTTAGAAGCCATTTGTGTGTCACGATTCTTTTGATTGTCGCAGAGGGTTCTTTAGACTTCTAGATTTATAGCTTCAAGAAGCAACTTTCAGAAGCAGTGTCAATGCCAACAATTTCTTGTGTAAGCTGTTTTGAATAAATAAATTAATTAATGTATAATCTCTAACAAGTAGACGTTAACATTTCACTGAAGTTTTGTGGTTGCATTAAAACATATTTTAGAGTTATGTGAGTTGAATTGTAACCGTATTTCATTTTTCACTAAATTTCGTGCGTATTCTACATTTCCAGAAGTTCGAAGTCTTTATCGTGTTAATAAGTTTTCAAGCGGACATGAATTACCAACTCAAAATAATAATGTTATCTTTCACATGACACTACATAATGCTGACTTCCTCAGATAACTATTAAGTACCATTCAAATCAACGAGTATTGTTTACTAGCGATATCAGTGCGAAATAAACACTGGACAGGCGTCTCCCTCGTTCAGGGAGAAGATCATCAGTGGTGTGACGGATGTCATCAACAGCTGAGTGTTTAATCAATTCGAACCACCCGATTTCTGTCAAGCTACTTTGGTGAACTGAAATACCTTTAAACCCTAATATAATCGTTTTATTCTAATTGATATTTATATATCGGTTGTTGGTCATGAAAACTTCTAAATTCTTCTCCAAACAGCCAACTTTTTTTATTCATTCATGAGTGAGTTTTGTTTCTCTGCTATATTCGTCTACGTTTCGAGTGTAATGTGGTGCTGAAATGCTTAGCTTTGATTTCTCTGTATTACTTGTCTTATTTAGATAGTATTGGGTTTCTTGCCTGACGGCCAGCCTACCCTCTTCAACAGCATTATTACCAGCTTTAAAAGGGTCTAGCATTCCGTCGACCAGAGAAAACCTAGAACCACTTGTGATGTGTTTGGCAAGGGGTCTTCCACGGAATCATTGACTCGCCCCATGTCTGAGTATCTTCAATGAATTTAAACATATTTTGTTTCCTCACCTATAGTTGCAATATCTGTTACTTGCTTCACATTTGTATCTGAAGCACAAAGGCTCTTCCTAGTTATGTCATGTTGAAGAATTCACTCACGTCTATCCAACCACTTATCTACTCTTCAATGCATAACATAAGAATTTATGGTCATACCACATTTGTATGTTGAAATAAACAGGATTATTTTGTTTATTACAATGTTCAGAGCGAAAAATTAATAGGTCGAATGATTATCAAACATGACATTCGGATTTGTTATACGTTCGATGTATATTTGAAGAATCACAAAGTAGGATCAAACAGCTATCTGGAAGTTCGTGATTGTTTTCAATCATTGTTTGACCAAATCTATTTCACCATAGTGTTTCCTGAAATAGTTAGATCCCTGCAAAATGCGAACTTCAATGTTTAGAAGCTATTTGATTTGCTCGCTAAATTAAATTTTGACTTTCAGATTGGCAGCCACAAGCACCGACCACACAGAGGTGATATGCGATGTAAGTTCTTATCCTTAATACATTGTGCTGTGACATTAATTCACTGATTTCTTAAAGCGGGCTCATCTGGTGTCCGACTTTGTGTTATATCCTAAGCTGTCTTTCTGTTCTAAGTTATTATTTCATTTATTCACCTCTAGTTTCCTGCAATAAGTTTCCGTGATGTTTATTGCTGTCATTGTTAAAGAAATTAAACTGTAGGAGACTGCGGTTTGAATTATCTATCACTTGCATGATATGCACATGCACAAAAGTAGAAAGGAATGTGAAGATGAATTAAACGGACTTGAGGAGATTCTCAGTTTAACGGATAGAACAAGCAAGTAGATTAGCCGAGAGCCGCTTTGAATCGAATTAATTTTCTCTACCTGAATAATTGCAGTTATTATAATTAAATTTGTCACGGGAGATTTCGCTAACAGAAGTGATGAGTTGTCATAATCATAGTCGCTAGTGTTAGTTAATTCATAAAAGGATTCGAATGAGTGCATTGGATTTATTGAATAATCGGAGTAATCTAATGACTGAGTGACAATCAGGATGCATATAGAAACGGAAGAAAATATAATATTGCTGAAGATTTCGGAAAAACAAGGTTGTTTCCATGACAGCAGAACTGACTGCATAACCTTCTTTTGTATGGTGATTTCCAGTTTCTCTATCTGAATGATTAGAATCTTGACACTGCACACATAGTGGATGAGAACGGATTGGCCCTTGGAGGATATTTGTGACTTGATAGATTGCTTTGAAGAATGAGTTTCTTGAGATGGAATGTCTAGTAATATCGTGGTGTTCAATGATTGCCCATGTCATAGAATCATCTATGTCTCTCCGAATTCACCTGGGATAGTGTTCTTTAACGCTTTTAGGTAGGATACGTGTTGCTAGACAACCGCATGTGGGTCCACAGTGACAACTGATTGTAATATGAACATAAATTCGGCCATTTTTGAGATCTCATATTTCAGGCTTCCACCGATCAGTGGGCGACTGAAGAACGCGACTCCCAGTGTTGCTGCAAAGATGGGATTCCACTCTTCAGGATATTGTCGTTTAGGTCGCCAGTGAAATCGACAATCATGTTAAGCCTGTTTTATGGCGCAAGTAATATTTCATTTCTGTGATTGTTTGATTTAATGTGCTGTTAGTTTTCATTTGAAGCTACTTCATATCACATTCTTACCGACTGAGAAAGGGAATCACAACCGGTTTCGAAGAGAATTTTTCGTCTAATATATCTGAATGCGAATCATGCCTTAGGGGTTGAGTTCATGTTGAAAGGCTTTACTATGTAGAAAATCATATCTGTCTTGATCAACACCACACCAAATGTTGAGGGTATTTCATCAGATGAGTAGTGATTTAATGGCTAACATACTAGTGGGGACTGAACTACGTTTTCATCGCAGAACATATGAGTATATTGTAAAGAGTTAATTCAGTCTAGTGGTTTCCTATCATATTTGTGGACATTAGTATTGTTGTTTTGTTGTCTGAACAGTAAGCGTCGCTTATAAATATGGCACGTTTCGCTTCTCAGGATGGATGTATGTGATGAAGTCTTCAGAATGTAACGAAAATGTGCTATGAAGCAAGCAATATTTCTTTCTTTCGGGTAGACAAATTAATTTTCAGAAGTCTTTGTGCTTGTCTATACTATTGCGAAACGATCATGATATTATTCGTTATGGGATACTTGACCGCTAAGTGGTCTATATCATGCATCAATCATGTAATGCTGAAATCGTGTGAATGAATGTATGCTATGGATTGCTCATCCATGAATCTGCAATCCATATTTGAAATAAAATTCTTGGATATTGCACAGAATGCAAGGAACAAAAGTTCATGGTGATTTTGCATAAAATTATTGAAAATCGTTCATTTTCTTTTTCCTGGCCTATAAACAATAATTCTGAGCAAGTTTAACCTGGTGCAGACACTCTGTTAGTTGATACTAGTGGAGAAACAATATTGAGTGATTTGATCTAATCGGAAAGTGTTAATGCATTGGTTACATTGTAATAGCCACTGCAGGACATGAACATCGGCAATCAGTTGGAGCTGTAGATAGTTCAAAATATAGTAAGGTTATGCTTTTCGTTGTGAGTTAGCATAACTAACCACAGTACCATCGAGTACTTGATGACTTTGGGAATAGTGAAATGGTTGGAGGTATTTGAACAAACCCAACTTGGGGACCCTGAGGACAATAAATGGTCTTTTCTGCAGATTTTAGAACGACATCCAAAACATTGAGGGATCTGAGAACATCGTAGTCTATAGTGATACTTTAAAGAATTTTTTAACTTGACAATCTCCTGACTTCTGAGTAGATGTTCATGTTCAGTTCTGCTATATGTCAGGGTGGCTACTTTAGTTTTACCTCGCCAGGATAACTAACATTAGAATGTAGGAAAAGCGTTTTATTCTACTGGGGACTCTTCAACTGGTCGTAATTGGTCTACTCCATTGAGACTCTGGCTTAGCAGCCATTGCATCAGATGCACAAGCCTTGTCACTCAGACCACTTCACTTGTGATTTTAGGAGATAACGAAACAAAACACAACTCAAACGCCACAATAAGTGACAATAACATTTCGCTTTGACGATTTTACAAGATGTACTGCCCGTGTAAAACAAAGACAGTGAAGATAAATCTTACTGTACCTCAGTACTTGGCAGTCATCCATGTTATAACTTGTATCTTTTTGAAGCACTAATATAGAATTCATATTGCACATTCAAAAAAACATATTTATGCTGCCAAGGAAATTTTCAGTTCATGGTTTAATAATGGGTGTCAGTAAATTTCCATTGTAGATTTTGTAATATTGTGATTTTATAGACTGATAAAATTGTAACTGGTCTATAGTTTCATGATTATTGTCTGTAATTGTTTTCTATTCATGATACAGGTGTTCAACTTTGGGAATTTTCACTATTTACACAGAGAAATAAATGTTACCAATAATAATTTTTCTATTTGATTATATTATTGATTGGCAATGATATCTGTTGACATGTTGGCCTTTGTCGATGCCTGGGGTTTTGGCATCTTGTTATTTGATTGAAATGGGAGCTGGAGCATTTCATCTCGTTTCGGACTTATTATCTGTATTCACCCGCATCCTGTGAGAGCTTCTTTTCATAATGCCTGGTGCACTTTGTCATATATACGATTTCAGTCCAATGTATTTATGTTTATAAATTGTGACGTTTTGAGGCATGAATTAGTAAAACTTGTCAAGTATCTGTTTTTTCGAAGGCTAGGTTGTGATCGCTTGCCATAGTGATGAGAAGTCTCAGACCAGGGGAAAACAGCTGTCAAGTACTCCTTGTTGATGATCAAGTTTTTTTGACTTATGTCTTACTTCACCGTTCAACACGGATACAATTTGTACTGTGTAATTTTTTATCAGGTTTGATGAAACCGTTCACTTCAAGTATGTTAATGTACATAATAATCTAAAACAGTACATGCTAATGATACCCGATTTTATGAATTCATCAAATTTTGGCAGGAGTTTTCCGCTGAGTACTCTACATAAAAGGCACATATATATATGTATATGTATGCATATATATTTTTTATTCCTTAACGCTCTCAATGGAGCGTAGAGTTTCAAGCTAGAGGCTTGAGGTTTCTTTAGTGGTGGTAATTATTTCGACAGGATGGGTTTGCTAGCCTCACACACAACCTTCCCTCTTTGCCAGTCTTATTACTGTCTCAGTGAGAGTGCGTCGGTTGCGGATAGAACCCCCGGACCACCTGCGTAGTTGGAGAGCACTCAACCGCTGTGCCACCGACGCAATTATATATATATATATACTATTAGAAATACATTGGAAGAATTATGACTGAAAAATAAATAATCTATTCGCAAAACGATATTTGTGATACTGCACAGGTCAGTTTCATGTAAGTCAAGGGAAAGAGGTATGAGAGGAATAAAAATTAAGATAGCACTCGAATACGGCTCAGTTTTAATAATAATAATAATATCAAGTATGGGTTTGTAGGGATTTTGGCTGATTTATTGGAGGATTTCATCATGAGCTTACATCGGCTAGAGAACCATCGGAAAACCAGCTGGGAGTACTGGACAGCTGCTTCATTGTAGTTTGGGACTCCTCATCAGTACGCACCTACCACAAACCAATACTTGGTAGTTGATGTGATGCTCACCAGTGACTGGTCCTATTCATGCAGTTACCTGGGTTCTAATGGGAAGTCGTGATCAGTAAGGTACAACATTTCGTAGGTGAGGACAGTTGCCCATTGAAAACATTGTTAAATGGTCGTGATATGTTGTGAATTTGGAATTCATGGGTTGGCCATTGGATCGAGTCTCAGTATCTGAATCGCCTACGAGCTCGCTTTGGGTTCGAACCCCTGCGGTGGGTGCGTACTGATAAAGGGTTCCAGACTAGGATAGAATAGCCGTCCAGTACTCTTAGCTGGTTTTCTAATGGTTCTGTAACCGATGACCGCTCATTATGAAGTCCTACAACCGGAAGTAGTGGTGCTAAAGATTTATTTCAGACAATATGCAAACATATGGTCCATCAATTTTCGGGGTATTCAATTCCAAAATATATTTTTCTTCTAACACGATTTACATGTGAAGTAATAGACTGATGTATATCTTTCATTGCTAAATGTCATTGATTTTACTTAGAAGCAGGCTACCTCAGAGCACAAGTTCATGTATAGGTCATCTGATATAACTGGACGATTGAAATAATGATAAATCCAGATGAAACAAAGCATTTTCGCTGAAAAAAATTTTGATAGCTCATTGATTCAAGAAGGCTGCCTAACAGTAACATCACTATAACAAATAATAAAGTAATATTGATTTAATTTTACCATCAGAGAACAAAGTTGAAAATGTCAGGGATTATAAACTGAATAATAATGATGTTGACGAAATGAGTTGACAAAAGAAAGTTTCAAACAAGCCAATAATAATAATAAAATATTACTAATAGTAATAATAAGAACAAAGCCTTTACCGTAGTAGAGCACCAAGTGGAGCACCATTTCATTTTCTGCATGGAGACCAGGTTTTTAAAGCTCTCATTTCTCAGTTTTTTAATCCATTCCATGTACACTTTCAGTGTTTGGATCCTTCAAGAGATCCGTCTTAATGTTAGGTTGAGAATGCATTAAGAAAAACCGAATCTTTAATCAAGATTCCTTTCCTGTGGTAAATTCAAAGGATGGATGGGAATTGTTGAATGATAACTAAATATCATAAAGCGCTACCTTCTTGTCGGAGATGATTAACGTGTAGCATACATGTGTTCTGTAAACACCTAAGCAACCAATAATTTCACTAAGTTGTGGAATTTCAAGCTTTACATAAATGAAACTATAGTTTCACAGTGTATCTCTGTAAGAAGCAAATGGAAGCGACTGAACCCATTATTAATGTAAAACAGACTACCTAGACATTTTACTGCGAAATATATTATGGAGACAGAATATGCCACTGATGTTTACATCAATTTTAAACCTAACTATTAAACTTATTTGGGGCGTGTTCTGAATTTTATAGTAGACATAGCAATCGGGAAGTTTAAACAATCTTGATTTGTGCAGTGCACGATACCTGATCCTATTAAACCTGGTAGAGTAGAGTGGTGATAGAGTGTAATTCCATTATGGGTACATTTTGTTTTGATAAAGTCTCATAGTGTAACACAGTAATGTTTACTGATGACGTTTCGAGCTCAATTTATTACTGCTCAAAATCACATCAAGATAATCACACGACTTCCTAAATTCATTTATACAGTTCAATCATTTTTCACTTACTTTTCACTTGATTTGATTGGTCGTAGTATTTTCCATATTTCAGGTGTGGGTGATGAAACATTTCTATTGCATGTGTTGGATGCAGACTCGATGAGCAAGGATTCAGTAACCAACCTCTCTCCACCTACCAAGAGTACTTTTTAGAATTTTAACCCTCTCCCAACATATTGTTGATTACTGAATCCTTGTTCATCGAGTCTACACCCAACACATGCAATAGAAATGTTTCATCACCCACACCTGAAATATGGAAAATACTACGACCAATCAAATCAAGTGAAAAGTAAGTGAAAAATGATTGAACTGTATAAATGAATTTAGGAAGTCGTGTGATTATCTTGATGTGATTTTGAGCAGTAATAAATTGAGCTCGAAACGTCATCAGTAAACATTACTGTGTTACACTATGAGACTTTATCAAAACAAAATGTACCCATAATGGAATTACACTCTACCACGGGGCACAAGGGATGATATCTCACTTCTCTGATTTTTTGATTTCATGAATGCACTATACGATTCAGCCAAATCCATCTTCTTCTTATTTTGTTGAAATTAGTGAGTTTATGGATCAAAAATTATAAGTGATAAGTTTAAAATGCTGTAAATATATCAATGACAACGATGACCATAATAAAAGCGATAATGGACAATACAAACTAGTTTTAAATCTTATGGAATTTAAATTTACGTAATCCTGACACAATTGGAGATTGGATTAATATGATCCAAAAATGGAACAGGCGAAGAATAAAGAAGTGCGGGGATTTTAATTTAGCTCATTAGATTTATACAGGCCAAGGAAGAGACAGCGTCGGTGGTATAGCGGTTAGGGCGCTCGCCGACCATGAACATGGTCCGGGGTTCCATCCCTGGCCGACGCACTCCTTTACCTCTCTGAGCCAGAAATAATGCTGAAAAAGAGGAAAAGGTTGGGCATGAGGCTAGCAACCCAATCCTGTAAAAATAAACAGTGCTAGACAAACTTCAAGCTACTAGATTGAGGCCCTATGTTCCACTGGGGAACGTGATGGAGAAAAATAATAAAATAAAAGGAAGAGACACGGGGAGAAGAAACTTCATTTGCTTTCAAAGACTGAAACTGTTCTCTTGGATCCATATGGCTTGGTTTATGTGTAAAAGGCCAGTTTGAATTCCGTTTGGAAGATTCAACAGAATACATTAGATAATCTTGAGGACATTTCTTCTGCCCACTTGATGACCATTTTCATTCAAATGAACCTTGTTCAAACCAATGAAACAAGATCCTGAGTAATGCATTTGTTGATCTCCCTAGTTGCTTACGCTGAATAGCTCCCTTCACAGAAGCAGGTTTTGACTTGATACCATGTACTATTACCTCTGCTATTTGGTTTAGTAGTCTTCATTGTTATTTTGACCTTCAATATATCCTTTTAACTTAACCTAAGTCTATTCTCTCGCCTCTAAACTCTTTATTAATTTCATATATATTCCTATGACAAGTCCGTGTGTGATCAGGTTGTTCAAAATATGTTGCGCAAATACACTGCACAATTCAGACAAATTACGTCTTCTTATTGCTTTATCTAAACTCATAAAGGTAACTAAATGTTTTAAATTTAAGACTTCTATTAACACCTGCCTTCGTTCCACACTAAAAATAAGATGGGCAGCCGGAATGTATCAGAAATAATGATGTTTGTGCGTCAGTGGCATAGTGGTTAGGACTCCCACTGACTATGCACATAGTCCGAGGTCCGATCCTCTGCCAACGCACACCTCATTTCTATGGTCAGCCTGCATAATTTGAGCTACCGATATCCATGTTGAAAATTCCATACTTGTACCAAAAATATAGTGTGGAATCAAGCTGTAAATCCCAAAAAGGACCTATTGCTCAGAAATAGGACGAAGAAAATGGAGATGAACTGATTATACCCTGAGGAGACTGTCAAATATATCGGACTCCAGGCCCTTGAGTGAAATCCATTTGGGAAACAACTTGGTTAGGCGTTGGTCTGAGAGCGACACGATGGAGATGGTGGGAGGTGGAAAGAAAAGACTATGGATTATTGTGAGACTAGCCAGAGTGGACCGCAGAAAATAGGACAAACTGAAAATTTGCTGCTAAAGTCTTATGTTCCATTCGGAACCCAAGCGGTCAGTATTATTTATAATATTAATAATGAAATGTTGTTTAATGTCCAGCTGAAGTTCACTAACGCATTATATAGACAGAAAGACAGAGTTCCAACAGGGTTGCCATTGAGTCATATACTTGCAGAATGTCTCATGACGAGTCTAGACAAACACTGTATTACAAACAACAACATAACGTTTTCATAAGTAACAAAGATGCATGAATGACACTTTTATTATAACAGTTAATTTTGTGTTTGAATAACCTTTAAAACGAAGTGTTAATGCCGGATGAAACATCTTATGGTATACAATCAATGTGCACATACTTTTATCGAAAGATACTACCGACAAACGAACAATATGACAGGAGGATTGAAACTTGGACGTGTTCTCGTTACAGATATTCTTGTGATATTGGTCAGTAAACATTGATGAGAGGAAACCAGCAAACTAGAATTTCGGTTAAAGGACTTCATCATGAGCAGATATCGGTTACAGAACCATCGGGAAATCAGATGGGAGTGGTTGACAGCCGTTTCATCGTAGTTTGGGACTCTTCACCAGTGCGCACGCACCTCAAGTGTCCCAACCCAGGACTTTCTGGTTACAAGGCGAGCTAGCTCGTAGACCATCAAGCCACTAAGACTCGATCCAGTGGCCAGCTCATAAATTCTCTCTTCTGATGC